CGATCAAGGCTCATCTTCTTATTCTAGGCGTGAAACTGCACGCTTTGATTTTTGTTGACAACAACTATGCGTCGTTTAACATACGTCACGCACTCTGTTGCTCTGATTGGTTGTAGGTCTATCCAATTGAGTGCAGAGGCATTTTTTTCCCTGGTTCGTTGGAAACACGCCCCATAATCACAGCTCTATGGAACAGCATCAGACTCATTCTGACTAGAATTGAGTCGGACTACGTCAGGCTAGATCTAAGCAGCAGAACCTGAAGAGTCTGAGGCGTCCTGAATGCTGCAGCTCTGTCTGATCGCATCTTTAAAACAAAATACTCTGAGCCACGTTTTTCTGGATGAATACCAAGTATTATTCTCCCTAAATCACTGATTCTTTCTGCAGATGTGGACCGCAGCTCGCCGGCAGACGGCGGCTCGCCTCCAGGCGGCGGCGGCGGCGGTTTGGACCCAGCGGTTCCTCCTCAGCTGGCAGGCTGCTCTGCACACATGCTGGGGCTCCACCCTCTAACCCCGACTGTCCTGCTAAACTTCCTCCAGGTAAGAAGTTTCCGTTTTCTTCCTGCTGGGATCAGATGAAGTTTTCCTCACAGTGACGCCATGTTGACGATGCGTCCCGCTGCAGCTGGAGTCCTGCTCTGAAACGTTTCTCAGCATCCTATCAGAGAGCTGGAGGAGAAATCAGCCTCTTCTCTATTCCAACCTGGAGCTCCTGCTCTCCATGGCGGCCCCCCCATCCCGCCCCCAGGTGCAGATGGAGCTGAGGCCCCCAGAAGCCGACCTCCACCTTAATCACACCATCAGGTCCAGTGAGTCACCGTCGTGCTTCAGACCCTCCAGACTCAGCCGACGGAGACGCGCCGCTTCATCGCCAGCTGCCAAACCAGCTTCAGATTCAACCTACAGACCTCAGAGAGCGCCGACGCTCGGCTGGACTCGCTCTGAAGCGCGGAGCTCATGGGAGCGGCGTGCAGCCGAGGCGCTGATGGGCGCTCTGGAGAGCCTGGCAGATTTCTATGACCTCATGTCGAACATTGATGCGCTGCTCAGTCCGTCTGCATCACAGCCGCCGGCCGCCGCCGCTTTCCTTTGGACGGGAGCGGCTTTAAAGGATGGCATGACGGATGAGCCGCGGGAGGAGGAGGAGGGGGGGAGAAGGAAGCCGGAGGCGCTTCAGGAGATCCAGGCTGCAGCTGAAGGTCTGGGGGGTCGGCGCTGCTGGCGGAGGCTCGCCGAGGCGTGGAGCGAAGCGCACGGCTGGAGAGCAAACCTGAGCGGCGAGCAGTGGGGCGGGCTGCAGGACAGGCTGTTGCTAAGCAACCGCCCTAAACAACGTAACTTGTGCTTTACAGCTCAGCCTCCAGGTGGATCAAGGTGAGCCTGCAGGAGCCAATCAGCTTCCTGATTGATCTATTGATCTATTTACAGTCGAGGCAGCGTTTCCTGTCATCATCTAACTTCTCCCCCCCCCCAGCGTGTCCCAGAGGCTCGCCGTCGCTCGGTCGGCTCTCAGCCTGCTGGGGAACAGGCGCGCCGTCTGCATCGACTACCTGCCGCTTGTCCGCCGCTCCGGGCGCCTCAGAGGGGAGCAGTGGAGGTCAGCCTGACGCCAAACTAACGGTTTCTACGTCTTTAAGCCGCCAGCAGGACGCCGCTTCAATCTGACTCTCATTCCTTTTCATTCCAGTGCTGGAA